CCCAGAACACACCGAATGGATCCAGGCCATGCCATGACAAGAATTGCAAAACCTGCCAACACATCTCCAGCACCCCCCACAATCACTACACTCCACAGAGCCATCAGCATTCCCGGATCTTACAGCTGCACCTCCAGAAATGTAATATCTCATCCCATGCACCAAATGCCTAGATGGAAAATATGTAGAAGAGACCAAATAACAACTGTGCACCAGAATGAATGCACACCGGAAATCTAGTGAAGACACGAATAGCCAATTACCCGTGGGGGCACATCTCACAAGAAAACCACTCTCTCTCCAACCTCTCAGTCCTGATCCTCAAAGGAAACTTACAAAACACTTCCCAGAGACGAGCCTATGAACTCCACTTTGGACCAAATATAGATATTGGATTTATGACACATTATAACCTGCCTGACAACTGACTTCCCAGGTATCTCTCCGCTATTCATCCCTCTTCTCTTCCCCACACCCAGCCTGTCTCTCACCCATTGACTCTTCAATCTACATTTTCACTGACTGCCTGTCTTGTATGCAGACCAGCCCAGCCTCTGGCTTCTTTATTTTTCATTCCATCCAGGAAGAGCGCACACCAACTGCTGAAACTTCCTTAGCCTGATGAAGGGTTTTTGAACCCAAAAGCTTGCTTAAAAATTTTTCTCCAACTATTTAGTTGGTCTAAGAAAAGATCAGATTCTCCCAAAGAACCTTGTCTGCTTATGTCCTTAGACCAACACGGCTACAACCTACACCCCTTTATTAAAAGCAGTAATTTATTGGGGGGTAGGGGGAGGTAGACCAGGTTTGTAAGCTTTCACTGAAACTACAGGAATCTTCTGCATTTCAACTGGGTGCCTTGCATAAAGTGTTTGATACAAGCACCAATGAAGCACCAATGAAGATAATATGAGCATGGGGGACTGTTTTTTTTACCATAATTTATTCATCAGAAAGTGTGCAAGTGCATCTTAGTTACAACCATAAATGCTGGTGAACAGATAGGGACAGATTCTTGGTGCAAATGAGTCAGTGGAGCTCTTATGATTTATACACATTAAGATTCTGAGCCATTTTATTTCTAAAGAATGTACCAGGTTAAAAAGCACAGGAGGAGAGAAAGTGGTATGGTGTGGAAGAAAGTGGTGAGCATTGTAAACTGCATTATACAACAACTTTCATCCAGAACATTCCTCAAGTGTTTTCCCATAAGCCCTAGTTTGGATTCTGCTTTGGATTCCCTTGAAGTCAATACACTAATGTATACCAGAACAAATCTGAAGTTACTGTACAGCAAAAGATGTAGGAATCACTTTGCCCAGCACTGAAATGCAGCCACCTCTGGGGTGGAGGGTGGTAACTAATTTACAGTGCCCAGCAACACTAGTGGGCAATTTAAGGACACAAGAAAAGAAGAACTGTCAGAACACTGGAGTGATTTGAGATGGGAAGATTTGTACCCACTCCAGCTGGAAACAGGCCAGTAGGTCTGTCTTCTCTTGGAAAAAGTATACTGAGATATTTAATGACTAAAACTGATCAGGACCTTAGATTTATATTTAAGCCAGAATTGGTGCTGCCAGCAGCACAGAACACCTCTAACTCCAGGGTGAGGGACAGGTTCAGTACAAGCTCTGAAGAAATAGCAGAGCCAGCTAAATCACCAACTCAGACTCTTGCACACCCCCAGCCTTTCATCCCAAGGATTTATCTCAAGGAAGATAATTACGCTAAGGCCCAAACTCTCTGCCATGGGTTGCAGGGATTTTTAATGTGATGCACTGGATTTGCTAGCCTCTTCCCTGGATCAGAAATCTACTGATCATTTGTAAAAGTAATGTATCGAGCTTACCTTTTCAAGTGCTTTCAAAATCTTTTCGTAAAGAATTTTACTGTACTTTGTACCACTCTAGTCATTTTTTTTATAAACAAACAATGCTGCTTTTCTTAACATTAAATTTCTACCACTACGTTGTGACTTTCAAGCTTATTTGCTATTTGGAACTATTTTCTGAATACTTTCTGGGCACACATCCACATATGCATTTTAATGCGCAGTAGCCTATTTTACTGTGCATTAAAGCATCACATAAAAAAACCATGCTATTAAGCTAATGTGCAGTAAAATAAGGTATTGTGCATTAAGTGTCACTTAAAAATCATGCACATGCATTACTGCGCATTAAGGCAGCCTAATGCACATTTGTTTAGTACTGCATGTTGGGGGTATTAAATTTAATACTCATTAGGAAAAGCACCTAAATGCATACGTAGATGTGCCCACAGTGGCTTTTTTCACTGATCATCAGTAGAAGTGTTTGGAATAAAGTCCAAGTGTCCTTAGTCTGAACTGGTTTCCAAACTGTACTTCACAGGGTGGTAAGTAAGATCATGGTAAATGGTCCACAGATCACACCAATCTTCTCTCTCCCCTTTTCAGTTAAAAGTCTGATATGAGTTTTCTGTGAGAAACATTGAGAGATGAGAGTGGCGTGCTGGTCCAAGAAGTTCAGCAACCACTGCAATCCACTACTCTGCAAATATTATTTTCATTTTGCATCAGATTCAGTAGTTTTGCCACTATTCCTGCAAATAAACTAGCTTGCTGAAATTCACAGGAATTGAGTGCCTAGCCAACTGAAATGAATTTTAAAACATTCACATGAATTTCTGCTACATTTTTATCCACCTTCCTCTCATCTAAAGTATGATAATTAATAACTGAACAGATACAAGCTCATGAGATACAGTCTGCCCACAGAAAGAGCTACCTGAGCAAAATACTAATGCTGACCAGAAAACCAGACCCCCTTCCTGCCACTTGGCAGCAAAACCGGCAGCAGCCAGACCTGTGGGAGGTTGGAGGGTTTTATAGACCATCAGTCACAGGCTTGTGGCTCCCATTGGTCTGCCCAAGTCATCTGATCCCTCACTGGAAACATCATGAGACAGCTCTGGCTGCCTTAAGGTTGAGGTTTGGTTTGCTATTTGGTGGTTTTGTAGGCTAAGCTTCTGTCTATAGGCTTGAAAGGTCTGGGTTTGAATCCAAGAGATCCTGGCACCTGTTCTTCAAAAAGGGGGAAAAAAAATCCAGATGTGACCTAAGGAAGGGTGCTTGAAATCTTGTTTAAGTGCTACAGTTGGTCTAGTAGAAGACAGCAGAAAAAGGCTATGCCTGAAGATGAGAAATATCACAAAACTTTTCCCTATGTGGTGAAAGAAGTGTCTTCTTTTGTCCTCAGGCTGTGTCCAGGTGAGTGTGGACGTGTGTGGTATGTGGTGCTGCAGACCCAGTACAAAGGCTGGCTGCAGCCTTCTCTACCCTACCCAGAGTAACCTGCTGCATGCCAAATGGCATGGGCATTCCCTGGAGACAAGGTGTGTTGCTGCTACTTGTTCCCAGGGAAACAAACAGCAATGCTCATCTGGACATGGCCACAGTGTATAACCCCTTTCCTCTCCCTACTTTCTGATCCTTAAACATACCAGCTTTTCATATGGGTTTCTTGAAAGCCAGAGTGAATTTCAGAACTCTTTTCCTTCAGAACAGCGAGAAGGCAGGGTGTCTAATACCCTGCACGTCTAACTATGCTGATGTTTTTTGCCTGGTTTTTTTTTCTGATTGGTAATTTACAACAACAAGAAATGTCCATTCAATATCACCATTGTTTCAGGTGGGAAATAACCAAGGTAGGGAGACATGATTAAGTGTAACGCAGTTCATCAAATGTAAGAACATTAGGTAATGGGAGCAAGTAATTAGCATAAAAAAGAAACAGTTTTCAGTTTACCTATGAAAAAAGAAAAAAATATTCCAAGGCAAAGGTCACCAGAGGTTCTTTGCCCATCAGAAAGGTATCTTGTTACCTGCCAGTGCTCTTAAGAGGAGTCTTCTGTTCCTACTAGTGTAAGCCTACCAAAGGAGAGAAGGGGTATAACCTTGATGAGTGAGCAAATGGTCTTTCTAGCAGGCTAAGCAGACACATCATTCCAACTGCACTAATACTCTTCATGTGCTTCAGAATTAGTGCAGACATGATAGGAAGTTCAACAGCTAATTGGCGTAGGTGGTGGAAACTGCATTGCCTGTGGCCACCCACACGCAGCGCTGAGCCTTTAAGGTGATACCATTTTCCATGGCAAAGGAGCTAAACTTGGCCAATAGCTATGTTAAACTCATAGATCTCTTAATCCTCCTTTTCCTGGGCAAGAAAGATTGAAGAAGCATTTCTGCAAAAAGTGAGGAACTTCTGGATGTGGCTATCTGTAGCTCCCTGACAAATGGATTCTTTTTTCTTCTTGTGGCTTTATTTCTGGGGAAATTTTGCTATCCTCGTAGGTGCAGTGGTCCAGCAGGTAAAGTCCTTTGGGACCAGAGGCATGTTGAAAGCTACCACCATTTGACCCATCTGTAAATGACTATCTGGTCATTGAGACTGGAGAGTCCCGGTGGCTGGATATGATGCTAGCACATCACTTCCTTGTGAGAAATTGGCTTGCCTTAATTTTATTTGCCTCCTGGGTTGCTAGTCTTGGGCAGGCCTTTGACCATGACATTTATATTACTCCAGTACTCTTTTTCTTTCTATGTAATACTGGAGATTACCACCTCAACCACAGAGAGCAGGGTCAGGCCTAATGCAGAGATCCCATTTTACATGTTAATTTGCACAATGTCAGCTCCACCACTACCCCTGAATCAAAGCAGGTTCTGTGACACTTTCTGAAGCAACATTCAGCTTTCTTCCTCTCAGATGTATTATTTATCACAAGTCTAAGTTGCTTGTGAGGGTGGGGGACAAGACTGTATGGCTTGTCTTGTTGTAGCTCTCCATTTTAGCAGGAAAGATTGATAAATGAGGTGGTTCTCAGGCATTTCCTTTCCTTGTGGTTGCAGAGATACCATAGACTTCAAATGCAGTTATTTTCAAAGTATCTGTTTACTTAAGGATTCGAGTGTGAGGGTTCAACATCTATTTTTCAGGGCCAGGCAACACAGGTGAATGCCACTGACAGGGTCTTCCTCCAGGGCAAGGGGAACAAAGCAGAACTTAGTTTTGCTCATTCCCGCCAGAAATCTCATGATCCCAAGAACAGCTCAGAAGTGAACACTCTTCACAGTGCATGCCACAATTAGTGGCGGTTATTAGAAGAGATCCTGCTAGAGCAAGAACCTGCACTATGATGTGTAGGTTAACATCACAGTCAAAAAGGGGAACTCACAGTCTTTCTAAGTGGATTTCAGTATTACAGCTAGAAAAGAAAGTATGGAAGTGACGTCACAGATTCTCTCTTCTTACTTACTGGCTATTCGTCCCCTGGGATGCTTGGGAAACAATGCCATGAAGAAAAGTGATAAAATTAAATCAGTTTGACACCAAATTCATTTCTGGTGCCATTTTTCTGTCTTTCTAGCTTATTAGGACTGATAGGTCTTTACAACAGAACAGTTTGTATGTCACACATTTGTAAACCTGTGGCTGCTTAGGACTTCATGGCTGTCACTATGCCTCAGTGTGGCTATTTGGAACTTTGCCAAGACAATGGGACTAGGACTTACCCCCTTTCATATGTAAAGCACAAGCCTCTACTGGAGACCTTATGTTTCATAAAGGCTGTGACAGGTAGTTTAGCAGTTCTAATTCAGTGTAGTCAACACCAGTGATGTTCATACACACTGAACAGTTTAAGTGACACTTAATGCACAATACCCTAGTTTACTGTACATTAGCTTAATAGCATGGTTTTTGCAGATTCCAGTGTCCTCCAAAATCTATCAGCATGTCTTCACTTGAATAACATGGCAGCCACAAGACAAAGTTGAAGGGTAAAGAAAAAAACGGTAGCTACAGGTTTTGACCAGTGCTACTATATCTTTGTAAATAGACAGATCAATTGACTGTAAAGCCGTAATGAACATTATGAACGTCTACTCTGATCTCCTGCATAGCACGTTCTAGAGAAACAAGTCTAGTAATTTTTTGCGTCAAGCCAGAACTCCTGGCTGAGCTGTAGCATATCTTTTAGAAAGACATCTCATCTCAATTAACACACTGAAACTGATTAAGAATATACTGAATCCATTGGAAAGTCATTCCACTGATGTATTTTCCTCACTGATTAGACAGATCAATAGGTATGTATGGATGTGTATATCTATTGTGTGTTCCTTAGTGATGTAACAATCAACTTTAATATAGTATGGAATACCAGTTAACTAACCCACCTATCAATGTTCAGTTGCTTACAAAGGGATCATTTGTTGCATGAACCTGCCAGTTTCTGTTTAGACTTCAGTATCACAAGTTATAGAAAACAGAATCATAAAACAGTACAGCTGGAAGGGACCTCTTGAGGTCTGCTAGCCCAAGCTCCTGCCTAAGGCAGGATCATCCCTGTCCAAACCATCCCAAGCAAATCTTTGTCTAACCCATTACTTAAACTACATAGGTGATCCGGTCACTCAGCCACAAGGCAAAGCACCCTAACTTGCCATAGGAAAAGCAGGGAGACAATGGTGGACAATGCCATGCCAATGCAAGGGTTGTTAAAATATGCTCGAGAGATCCAAGGAAGATGGTAATGACCCCTGCTACACAGGAAGGCAAAAAGCCTCACAATCCATACCATACTGACCATGTGGTAAAATTTCTTCCTGATCCTAAACATGGTAATCGGTCTGGCTCTGAGTGGAGGGGGGAAACCCTCTAACCAGAAAATTCTGGACATACCTCCAGTAGGACCATTATCATATTCCAGTCAAAATCCCTAGCTTTGGCTATGGCAACCACCCAGTGCTTCTAAGGAAGAATAAAAAAGCCCCAGACACATTGACAGATGTTGGTGTATTTATTAATTCTGGCTGTACCAACAACCTCTTTGAAAGCATGCACAGATAAGTTACTTTTGTAGTTGCTCCCTAGTACCAAAGGATAGGGACCCTTTACTTAAAGAGTCTGAAGAACTAAAAGTTATGAAGAATTACATTGCATGTTCATTGTACAGCTTTGCACAATATCACTTTTGGGTTGCAGGTTCAAGCAGATAGACACAGTTTCCTTCCCCTTCCCAGAATGCAAGATTGGCCTTGCAGCCTTAGATTAGTCAAAAAGTGAAGTGTCTTTCCACCTTCTTTCTGTATCCTTGTGTTTCATTTGTATATAGATTGCACTACACTGCACATTTCACAGAAATGCTGTTTCATAGTTTGCCTCCTCTGCCTGAGTTAAATGAAAGCTATTAAAACAAGTGCCTCAGAGCCAGCTCTTGACAGTTATAAAGATACTTTCCACTTGCCTTCTTTTTTCCTGGCACCAACTAATTGCAGATAGAGTGCTGTTTATAGCATCTCCAGTTTTCCTTCACACTGTCTATGATTCTAGTCCAGAATTGAAAGCCCCACCAGCATTCAAATTCTGGACTAGAAAGACCGAATTCTATGACAATTCTATGAATCTGTTCCAGAATTTGAATCCTGGGGGGGCTTTTAACTGCTTCATCCTTCTACCTCCCCAGCTTGTTTTACCCCACTTCTGGTACCATGCGTCATTCAGAGAACACTCAGAGCCAAGGAGGAAGACAGAAGTGGACGTCATTCAGTGCTCAAGTTCTAAAGGATCAGCATTTCCTAATATTAGCCAGTGTAGAACCTAGTTCAAAATGGCTCGGGACAGAG